GGGATGTGGGGAGGCCTGGCTCAGAAGGAGTGACAGAAGAGTGACCTGGAGGTTGGATGGCTGCAGTTCAGGTGCTGGTACCTGCGAGCCCTGAGGTACCAGGCACTGGAGGAACTGTCCCATGGGTTAAACTTGTGACAAGGGCTCAATGTTGGACTAACATGAGCATCCCTGGAGCTGGCACTGCCTCACACCCTGTGCAGTAACATGGCTTTGGTTCCAATTCTAATGTTTTACTGTAATGTATTTAAAGTTATTTAAATAAAACTGGTTTTCAAAAGCCTGTGCGTGGTGGGTTCCATTGTTCCTGGGGCCAAAGCTCAGGGGCCTGCTGGGATTCCCAGCCCTGGGGGTTGCCCCCAGCTCTGGCCCACTGCAGGAAGGGGAAGTTCCCTTGGTGCTGTCTCTGCTACTCCTGCTGGGAGCTGAGGGAAAGCCGAGGAGTGGGTGGGTGCTGAGTCATTCCCTGCCCTGGCTCTAACCCTCGAACCGGCTCCTGTGCTCGTTGTGTTCCTGTAAGTCCCCTGGGCAGGGTCAGCATTCGTGCTTCCCAAAAATGCTCCGGGGAGGAGGGGGAGGCACTGCCACCCCGGTCAGGCTCTGCCACAGGTCAGGGGCTGAGTGCTCTCTTTATTTCCTGAGCTCAAGATCAACAGGCAAGAATGAAATCTCAGTAAAATGCACTGGTTGAGGGCAGCAATGGTTCTGGGGGCCAGCAGGTGCCTCTGGCACGAGTGGTGTGGAAATGCACTGAAATGCCTGAGTGCACGGGGAGTCCCTGGGTTTCCCTCCCATTGCCCCCAGCCCACCTGTCCTGCAGCAGGGAGGGCTGGGGTGTCCTGAGAGGCTGCTCCCACCCTGGTCTCCTGCTCATGCTCCTGGCAGCCCCCCAGAGCAGGTCCTGGCTCTTCGTCCACTGCCACAATGACCCCCATCGCCCGCAAGCTGTGCAGGAGCCCTGAGTTCACTGCCACTTTCCCGGGAGACTTTGCTCTTGGAAACCAAATTACTGCAATTATGCAAAGCAGCTTCAAGTGCACCGAGGAGGCAGGTGACCTCCAGCCCTGCCTGTGCCTCAGAGTGACCTCCAGCCCTGCCTGTGCCTCGGGGAGCAGGTGCTGGCAGACAGGTGAGCAGCCTTGCACATGGAGAGCAGGTGCTGACAGCACCAAGGCCAGCATTCACATCAGGGTGTACATTTGTGCACACAACCTGACACAGCCCAATCTCTGCTGCTGCTGCACCAGGAATTCCCGTGCCCTTTTTGTGTCAGGACAGCTACCACAGCTAGGGAGGGGTGAGGAGTGCTTGGTCCATCCTCCAGCTCTGCCTGTCCACCCGCAGAAGGGTCCAGCCCACAGCCCCAGTAAGAAATCTGCGTCAAGGTGATGCCAAGCTGTGGCCTTGGAGGGAGTGGCCACCATGTCCCCATCACCCTGATGGCTCATTTGGTCCAGATTGAACCATTAAAAGGCAGAAATTGGAAAACAATTTGTTTGTTCCTTGTGTGAGTGCTCGGTGGAGCGAGCGATCGATGGCCGCGGGGTGCTGGGTGCCGCTGCCTTCCGGCCATCCAAAGCCCATTTGTTTCGGGGTGTTTGAGGAGCACCGACACGGCTCGTTGGGGACACGTGGGGACACGGGACAGTGACGTGCCCCAGCCCAGGATGTCGTTCACGGGGTTTATTGAAAGAGGGAGACAAATGGGCTCTACAAATACACTGATGAGGGGTCAATACAGGCAGCAGGAAACATCAATATCCAATGAGGGGGTGGATGGCGACAGACAAGGATCTCCAGGGGCTCTGACATGAGCGGGGCCCACTCCTTCCGCAACACCCCAAAGCTTTTTGGGGTGCAGGGAGAGATCCAGAGCTGCAGAATGGGCAGCTCCAGGGCCTGTGTCCTGGTGAGGGGCCTCACACACACTCACAGACACAGCCCCCAGGTCTGCACAGAGCCCCTGGGAGCCCTGGCACAACACGTGTGCACACACCCGCGTGTCAGGGAGCGCGTACACCCGTGTGTGTGTGTGTGCAGACAGACACACAGACACACGTACACATGTAGGAACACACCTACTCCTGTATATATATACATGTGCACATACAGATATATGCATATGTATTGCTATTTATAAATACAGATAGGTCTGGATATATAAATATGTATAAATGTGTACACATTTAGGTATATGTGTACATATATCTACAAATATATACATAATCCCAGAATCATTTAGGTAATGGGAAAATCCAAAAATCATGGGGGTGTATATAAATATATACATGTATATGTGTGTGTATATGTGTATATGCACATATATATCGACATGTACATATAAACATATGTAAATATATATTTATGTAATCATATTTATATATACATATAGCTGTGTTTCTATACATATATACATATATATATAGAGAGAGATATGTCATGGTGTTCCATGGTATCCATCACTGCACACACCCTCCATCACTCAGTGATGTACAATTACCTCATCCATATGTATCCATGTGTACGTATGGATACCTGGATGTATTTACATAGGTGCATAAGCTATGTTTAGAAATTTATATTAGAATTATTATAATTAGAATTGATATTAGAAATGTACACATTATATATATATATATTTTATACTGTATAAAATTTTATATATGACACTGTATTATTTATATAAGTATTTATATATAAGCACACACCACTGCAGTGTGTGATACTGTGTAGCTGTTATTATTTAATAATGCATGATGTGCATGTTCAGCTGCACACAGAGCTCTCCTGTTCTGTACAAAAGTGCAGCCAAGACACCATGCCCTGGCAGCTGCACCTGGATTTGTGTTCACGTGTGTCCATGTACAGCCAGCCATGAACTGTGCTTGTGTAGCTAGGAATGTGTATGGACACGTGTGCCTGTACATGTGTGTATGGATACGGCTGTCAGGCTGTGTGTGTGTGTATGTGTGTGTGTGTGTGTATGTGTGTG